ACACACACAAATAAATAAATAAATGTTTAAAAAAAAATAAATAAAGTGGTTTAGAAGGTATTTCATCCACTGACTTATAACTTTGAGGGAAACAAAGCTTCCATGTCAGAACTGATTGCTCCCTGCTGCAGACTTGATTCCTCAGAGTCAAACTGCAGGGACTCCAAAGACAAGGAAAAAAATTACATAAAGACCACACACTTAGAGGGATATGTTCTCCTAGACCTCTCATAACCTGTTTTCAAACTTTTAAGTTTAAAGCAGCGTTTCCCTTAGCTGAAGCCAATAACAATGACTTTTTCTAAGTGAAAATAATTCCTCGAAGCTCTTTGATTTCACTTTTACACCTACACTTTTGAGTAACATCTGAATAAAATGGATATATTCATTTTCTACTGAAGCAGAGTTTCCCATTACTCTGAGCTTTTTCCAGTGGTCTCACCTACTCTGAGCATACTTTTCCCTTGTGTCAGGCCTTTCTTACTTCACCCCTGGTTGTCTTCTGTGTCCCACATTGGTCACCACTTGCCGTAGGTTATCAGCTGGAACCAAAAGAAATGATGAGAAGATCCGATGAATATAGTTTCAGAGGTCTCACTGGGATTAGTCTCTCTCTAAGTGAGCCCAGAGCTACAGAAACATCTCACGTTTATTGAGGGCTAAGGGCAGGCTAAGGAATGTGCATAACTGCTGTAGTCAGCTAAATTAAATAGAAACATTATAGGCAGTCACACAGGGCTAGGCCCTCAGGGAGACAATATGGAAGACAAAGTGACTTTGCAACTTCAAAGTGATAGACACTCTTGGTATGGGCCAGATCTCAAGAAAAAAGTATACAAATACAGCCACCTAATTTCCCTAGGGATGGGCGTCAGCAATTGATATTCTAAATAGGTATTAATCATCTTGAAAGAGCTCTAAAGAGTCTAACCATCTAACCCAATTTCCAACAGAAGAGACCCTGCCCTTTATCCACTTGCTATGTGACTTGCTTCCCCATTTGATTCCAATTTAATCAATTTTACTTAAGCAATGGTGCTTGTCATCTCATTGGTTGACCATAGTTTTGGCCCACCTCATGCCCACCTAAATGAGTTCCCATGTTCTCCACCTTAGACCTGCCTCACCACCTGGTTTTACTCTATAAAAGTCCCTGGAAGACACAGCTTCCCGGGGGACAACCCACTCTCTCTGTCTCTCTGTCTCTCTCTGTCTCTCTCTGTCTCT